GCTTTGATTCAAGGATCAACGATCCAATAATACTGATGCAAAGTGAATTCTAAATATTCAAACAGTGCCAGCAGCCAGTTGGGAGACAAAATGGCAAGCGGCCAACAAAAACACAATCACCCCTTTTCCACCAACATTTCCAGGACATTTTATTACCAGGAATTTATTTACCTGGGGAAAAGAATTCCTGATAGTGTGGTTTGCGTTTCCACCGCAAAAATGAAAATGAAGTCCGCACACCAGGAACTGCTCCTTCAAATCACTTTAATGGTATAGCACCACACGTAGGAGCAGTTCCTGGTGTGCGGACTTCATTTTCATTTTTGCACTGATTTACTGGGATGTGCGTGCTATTTTTTACTTGTTTTTGTGTTTCCACCTGAACATTTATTCAAATTAGAGTGATGATGCAGATGATGTGGTGTTTACGTTTAAAAGTATTTTAAGATAAGTGTCAAACTAAGTTAGTCTGCATACAGACAGCTGTCATTTGAGGTCATTAGTAACAATTCGCTATCAGCTGAGCTAGCGTGCTGTCCTTGAATAAGACATTATGTGGCATGGCAAGCAGCCAAGAAGAACACAATGAGGATATTTAGTGATATCATCTCATATCAGTCGCAGGCACCTGAATTAAAATCATACTGTGGGAGACTTTGTGGTGTCAGTGAATATCAGATTGTTGCCCAAAGAATCGTGATGAAACATGTGATTTATACGCCTATATATTACACCACTACACCTTATATTATGCCCAACACCATTTCATAATGTACCATATTATACGACTCACCTCACTCAACTGTATTTAAGAAGCACATTTAAAAACAACTTACACGGACCAAAGTGCTGTACAAAAGGAATAAGTCACTAAAAACACACACGAGAGGCAACGTGACTGCCAGGTGCACAGCTCATACATTCAGAGACACACATCAGAGAAAGCCACGTCAGGGGGACCTGAATGTTTATGAATAAAAGTAGGTTTTGAGCCTGGATTTAAACGAGTCGGATCGAGGAGGGGGAGGCTGTTCCACAGTTTGCAAAGGCACGATCACCCCTCAGCTTGAACAGCCAGGAGCCCCAGGTCAGCTGACCTGAGGGACATCAGGGTTAAATGAGGCGTTAGGAGGTCTATATTATGTTAATATAGAACACTATAATAATACAAACACAGCATATATATTAACCTGTTTACACAGACTTGATGTCTCTGCTATCAATCACACCGCTGTCACTTACACATATCGTTTGTCTCCAAATGTTTCTGCTTCATTCTATTCTTATTTAACTTCATGTAGCCTGTCTCTTATTTATTATATCTGCTACTCTCCATACTCATCTCTGCTTATTTCTCTTCTGCTGTGACAACTAACTTTCCTTGCTATGGGTCAGTAAAGGTGTATCTTATGTTCTCTTATTATCCGGGTGGAGGAAAAATCTACACAGCATGGTATTGCAATATTTGCCTGGCAATATTGTTTCAATACGCAGAGGCCAAGTATCTATTTTTCATCATGTGAATTATTCATATTAAAAACATAACTAAAACCTTTGGTGGCCTTCGACAACACTGAAATCAATTGTTTATCAGTTTTTCCATAAATTTTGCTGCAATATAAACAATTCACGTAAGATGAACAGATAAAAAAACCTTATGCAAACAGATGTCAATAAAAATTTCCTTTGCAGACATGATTTGTAGTTTTAAAAAAGGTAATTAATCACAATATTTCGCATTAACATTAAAGCAATACTCAGCATATTACACTGTCTATTTATATTTGTCTCATTTGATTATTTTTATTGTTATTATCTTGTTTTTTTCATCAGTTTTTGTATTCTTTTATTTTCTTATCTGCTTCAGTGATGGTATTTTATCTTTATTTTATTCTCATTGGTCTTTGTATTTCTTGAAATTGCCTCATTTTATTTGTTTGAATCCTGCATTGTTTTAAATCCAGGATCAACCATGTGAAGCACTTTGTAAATTTGTTTTGAAAAGCACTTTATAAATAAAGGTTATTATCAATATTATTATATTGCAAAATGTTTACAATTGCAATAATATTGTATCATGGCTGAAGTATCGTGATAATATTATATCGTAGGGCCTGTGGTGATTTCCACCCCTATCTTATAACAGGTGCATGTTTATTTTTACCTCTCTTTGTTCAACTTTGTTGTCCTTATTTTAACTGTGTCAATTTCTACCTTCCTATAAATTGTTCTGTGTCTAAATACAGTCAGAACAACTTAAAACTAGGGGTGGGAATCACGAGAGGATGGATGGATGTATCCATTTCCCACCCCTACTTAAAACTGGATTTAAATTACTTGTGTGTGCAGCTGATTCTGATTTTGACATAGTTAAGTATTTGCAATTTTAACTTCAACTCCAGGACATTTTCCAGGAAAATATTAGACTTTTCACTGCACTAAGTTACATTTATTTAACAGTTATGGTTAGGAGTTTAATTACTGATTCGGATTGTTGATGCAAAAATGTGCAAACATAAGAAATTATAGAGACAGATGAGTTGGCTGAGCAGCAGCTAGCTATGTAATATCATGGTACAGAGTTATGTGAACTGAAACAGATCACATGTCGGTCCCACTGGGGGTTAATTTAATGCACAGCAGCAGCACAGTCATAATTAGTTGGCTAGATAGCACAGGAGAAGTCAGCAGAAGAACTAGCTTTAGCTGGCTAACACATGCGGCTGTCCTGTTAAATAAGACCGCTAGGCAACAATACTTTTGGCAATGTCTACGATTTAAATACCACGGTGGCCGTGGACACTGGCGCCGTGAAGACAAACTGCACCCTGCTGCAAAACATATCCCCGAATTTAGTTAGAGTGGTTTCATTCATCAGGTACCGTCAGCTGTCACCGTCAGCACCAGTTTAGTGGGGCTTTAGCTTAGCATGCTAAGTAAGCTAACGCACCGCTAACTGAACGGGCTCTGCTGAATAAACTGGACAAAGACAGAAGAAACGTCGAGTTACGTACCCCGCGAATTATACTCTTAAAACTGATGTCTGCTCGGTAAATCCGCTGGCATTATTGATGTTAGTGTGACTTCTAGAAAATCATTCTTATTGAATAAGGTTTAGTTGGCGTACTTTGAGCACGCCTAGTAGCGCTTCTTGTTTTAGTTTGTCAGAGTGGCGAATACGCAGCGCTGATGTGCAGCAGCGCCCCCTGGTGATCGGAGGAAGAACACTGCACTACCCAATGCCTGTTCAACAGCCATACAATGATATTTAGGACACATTTAGTGCTGTGGTGCAGAGTGCAGAGGGTGCTGGAGTAAATTACTGCTCTATATAAATGAGTTAGATGGATTTGACAGTATATACAGCGTAATCATATTGATGGTGATGGTATTTACCACAGACTGTATATAAAGATGTAGACTTTGTATGCAGTCTGTGGTATTTACATGTTGAAAAAACTGTGTATATACAAAAATATAAAATGTAGAGGTGCGATGAAGTACAATGGATGTTTGGTGTTGGATCATTACAGAAAAAAAATGACATTGTGACACATGTAAACTGCTCATCAGAGTGATTAAATGAAAATCAGTACAAACAAAACTCTCTCGATAATGTGTCTGTAAAAAGTAGGCCTATGCAGAATTTCATTTGACTCTAAGAGCTAAAATAAAATGATATGAGTAAATCACTTCTTTTCACGTTCATTGAGAAAAGGTTAATATTACAGAGTCAGACATAATTGTATATGATATGAAAGACAAGAGACAGACTGAGATTAGACAAAAAAAAATCTATATAAAATAAAAACCAAAAACCCAATGGCAGCATTTTAAAACCATTCAAGGGACAAATTACCAGCTGGTTAAAATGATGCATGGTGGTTACACCTGTCTTATTATTCTGCATTTTGACTAAAATAAATAAATGAAATAAAATTGAAAAACAACAACAACTCTTTTACTAAAATTTACTAAGAAGGATTAAGAGGTTTTTCTTAAACTGCAATGAATAATCACTGCTTTCAAAATAAAGAACAACATTTAGATTGATTTTAACACAGTGACCAGTATTCCGGAAAATATATACATTTCCAAGTCTATCCAAAATTGAACTGAATGTGAACAGCTAAAATCAATTCTATCAATGTTTCAGGTTTATTTTTGCAAACTACACATATTTAATCCAACTCAGTAAATCTAGACACTTTATAACCAATAACCTTAAATCTGTTTATTATTTTTTTTTAATAGTGTAAATTTCTGTGTTTCCCTGGCACAAAAGAAGAATTAAAAACAACGAAAAACAAAAGAAACACCAGTATAAAAACACCAATACTGGCTACTGATAATTAAGTTAATTTGTACATTTAATTATTATTTTACAATGTCAATTAATTATTATTTTTAATTGATTATTGATGCATTTAATTATTATAAACATGTACATCATGACAAATAAGCATTGGGGGCATTGTGCTTGGACTGTCACTGGTAGAAAGTGTGCAAAATTTCAAAATGAATCTCTCTAATCTTGTTAGAAATACAGAATTTGAAGGGACAAATCCTTCTGCCATTTAATGTCACATATTTATAAGTCCATAATGATTTCCCTCTTAGAGAGATTTTCTTTTTAGAAGAAAAATATCGTCTTATATATATTTATTTGTACATTTTAAAGTCTTTATTTCTATCCTATTCATGAGTAACAATGGAGAGAAAACACAATGGAGAAAAAAATAGTATGCAACTATTTTGGCAGCGTCGTGTACCCGTAGTGGGTGACGCGCCTATTTTAAGGCTGACCGGAAGTAAGAAATTAATTACACTTATTAATTAGACGTTCGTGTATCTAGAAAACGATAACTAGTGACTATTCTTCAGTCTATATAAATAAACTTAAGTAAGAATTAAATAAAAATATTATTTTAAATACTGCGAGACGTACTTTGGCGTGACGTCACTGCCCGACCCTTGTTTACTTCCGTCGTTCATTCACATTCAAAAGTTAAACTCTCCACAAAACTAACGTCAGCTAGCTAGGTATTTCCAGTGTTTTAAATACACTTTTAAGTCAGTCAACAACGTTTAAATGTTTTTAGAGCGCGTTTTAATTTTGAAAAAGTTGTTTATCTTGTTTTGCTGAGTTTCAGTTAACTTTAGAAGTTACTCACAGAGTTGGTCAGTTAATATTAGCGTTAAGTTAGGCTTTCAAACTGAAGGGCTAACGTTAGCATGCGCCCCAAAAGATGTTTAAAACAAGCTCACAACAACAATGACGGTAACATAAGACAGGGAGAAATATCACTAAGGAGTTGGTTGTAATATTAGCACTTTTAGTTATGATGTGATGGACGGAGGGAAAAGACTGTCTCCTCATGGAGGTGCTTCAGCCTGTTTCCCCTGGTCAAACGGTAAACACTCACACCACCAACAATAATACCATTAAAGTGCTTTGTTTGACATGTATGAGGGAAGTCTCAACCATCCACTGTGACTTTCAGATACTTCAGCTGAGCTCTGGCACAGCACTCCAGTTAAAAAGGTCAGTGAGATTTCATTGAAACCCATTTAAAAAATAAAAGTATTCATGTCTGACTGTGATGAGCTGTTGTGGACTGAAACTAACTACATTTACTCAAGTACTGTATTTAAGTGCAAATGTGATGTACTTGTACTTTACTTGACTATTCGCATTGTTTGCATCTTTATATTTCTACTCCATTACATCTCAGAGGCATCCCCATCTTCTCCCACTGCTGTACCAGAGCATTACTCTGCCAATCCTACTGTGCTGTTCCACCTGCTTTTTAACATGCTGTCAGTTTCTAACAGGGCAAAACTCACACCTATCACCAATATCGCTGCCAAGATAATTAGTTTCCCCACACCCAACCTCTCAGAGTTAAACATCAGGGCCATTGCACACATTGCGACCCCAATAGCACAGGACATCACATGCCCTCTCAATCACCACCTCACCTGACAGCCCTCAGAGCACTGAGGTGCAGAAGGACTGACTTTGGGGAAGACCCTGATGCCTTAAGTAATGGGCCTTGCTGAACAGGCCTGAATTTGCACTCCTGTCAGTGTTGTTACTGTGTGCTGTGTACTTGCTGTTGTCTGAGAATGTACCATGCTATGGAAGAAGAATCACACCTTGGTGACAATGAAATCTGAGCCTTAAGTCTAAATTATTGTACTTTTCCTCCACTACATTCATGGGATAGCTTTAGTTACTTCCTGTCCAGTGAAAACTATGTACCTCCATATGTGGTGATGCTGGATGTTTGTGATACACTGAAGAATATGCTCTGAAAATTTTCCTCCTTCTTAAGCTAAATAAACTCCTTAAAACCCTCTTTAATCAGCTGGAAAATGCATTGTCACAAAGCTGAAAACAGGCTGTTTTTCAGACTTTTTAGAGATATGTGGTTCTCACAGGACAGCCACGCTACAAACATATGATGATCTTATAGAATATGATGCACTGCTGTAGAATAATCTACCCAACAGTATATAAAGGTGTTAAAATGAGCAAAACTGTAAACAGCTACAACAATACCACAATAACATTCACACTAATGCAGCAGGAATATTAAGCCAAACCATCACATAGAATAGGAAAACACTGACTACATGGAACACTTTATTTTCACAGTGTGTTAGTAGTACTTATAATTAAATAAGAGATTTGAATACTTCTTCCACTACTGGTAACATGTATATGCACTACTTTTCAGAAAAATGGTGGTGCTTTACTGGACGCCAGCCAACCCTCTGTCCTAACCAGCTTCAAGATGGACAGCACAGCAAAACAATGGGCCAAAAATTCCCCTCCCATCCCAGCAGACTTGCTCTGTCCCCCCAGCTCGCAGGATGCTGAGGTGAGATCCAATCTGACCCCGACACAGGACCTCCAAGTTCATTGTTTCCCACACACGGAATTAATTTATGATTACGTTATGTCTTACGTCAAATTCAAAATTATTTTTATGTTTAGCATAAAGGACAAAAGAAAACAACAAATTTATATTTTAGAAGCTGGAACCAGTGAATTTTTGGTATTTTTTGCTTAAAAAAAACATTTAAATGATTAATCAGTTAATAACTGACAAAAGTTCTATTTCTAACAGGGTAAACAGACTTTGTTATGGTGACATTAGCTTTACATGCCTCTCTCGGTGTGCTTTGCCAAAAGTTTCCTGTGAATGACCCGAGCGGCTTCACGATCCAGAGGCAGAGGAGGGAGCTCCAGCTGCTGATGGCCGAGCTGAAGGACAGGGACAGGGAGCTGAACACCATGGCTGCTTCCCATCATAAGCAGCTTCACGCCTGGGAACAAGACCGCCAGAAGGTGCTCAGCTTGGAGCAGAGGTGTGCCCGTTTGGACGGTGAGGACACAGGCAGGATATTTTTAAACAGATCCGGTCCTCCTTTTACTATTTTTTGGCTTTTATCATCAAAAATGCAAATTTTGATGAATAATAAATTGTGAATAGATGTTTATTGTTGCTTGTTTTTGTGTGTTGTAGAGCTACAACTAACAATTGTTTTCAGTTGTTTATTAATTTGCTAACATTTTAATCTAAAAACTTTTAGAACATAAAGGAAATTTACCTTTATAACATCCCTGTTGTTAAGCTGGCACCCTCAAATTCCTGTATTCCTTCTGAGAAGCAGCAAACCTTGGGAAAGCAGGGACCAGATAATGTTTGGTATGTACTTGAAAAATGGCTCAAACAATCAGTTGCTATGTTTGTGCAGATGAGTTGCAGAAGCGCAACGAGGTGATCAGAGTCCTGACTAAACGTGTGTGGGTGGTGGAAACCAGGGAGGCGGAGGTCCAGAAGGAGCTCAGCGTGGCCCAGCAGCAGCTCTGTGAGCTGGAACAGAAACATCAGAACATGAGCCAAACATGTCAAGACTTTCAGGTACAATTATAATGTGAATACACTTTTATATTCTCCTTAAAAATAAATCTGCTCACATCATGTCAAAATAAGGCAGAGCAATAGCAGCAGGACTGCTCACTCAAAGTGGAAATATTGCAGCCTGTTTGCCGCTGTCGTCTACAGCCCTCTCGCTCAATACTGGACCAGTTTCAAAACCTGTTGTTCCCATTAGCCACTTGAACACAAAAACATGGGAAAATAGGATCCAGATTTAAAAATACCAAACTTACCCTTTAAAAGGAACTCATTCTTCTCATTCATACTCAGTTGAAAGCAGTTGCTTCAACGAGCAGTTGAACTCAGTATGTCTGCTTTAGGTTTAAATGTCTGTGGTGTCTCTCAGGAGAAGAACCAGAGTCTCAACTCCACGGTCATGGCTCTGTCCACTCAAGTCGGCTCTCTGCAGGTCAGGGAGGAAGAACTGAGCTCCATGCTCAAACTCAAGGTACACAGTAGACTGTTTTTCTTTGTAACTTCATTAAATACATATTAGGATCGTTAAGTTAAGTTGTATCTGTGTATGATTCTTTAAATATTCTGCTAGTTGGTTAATACAATCTGTTTTCCCCATCAGGACAAAGATGTGACCGAGGCCTCTGGTCATGTGGTCGACCTCACAGGGCGCCTTCGGGATCTGGAGACATCACTGGCAGAGAGTCGCTCACGGGAGAGCAAACTCCTGAGAGACTCAGAGGAAAATAAACGCCGCTACAGAGAAGCCAGGCACGAGATCACACATCTTAAAGGTACATGAGTACAACGTCAATCAAACCTCAGTTCCATATGTTTTTTTTTTTTTTTTTGCTTACAAATGCGTAGACGCTGTTCTGTTTGATGTGAGCAATGTCTTTGAGTTTGATACAGGGTACACACAATGAAAGCATGACATGAATATAACAATATGGGAACCCTCTTTCCTTTTTTTTCTTTTATTTTATTTGTGTATTTTATTACATATAATTTTATTATTTTCTATTATTGTTGTTATATTTTTGTCTTTAAAATGTCTGACATGTAAGGGAAGACTTCATTTTGTTTTTGGACAATAATTTATCTCTGTGCTTTTGATATTCTTCTGGATGAGAGCACAGTTGCTTCTCTGTTCTTATGAGGTATTTGAAAATGAATAAAGATATTGTTGGGAAAAAAATCCTAGACTTTAAATCGATCATCTTAAAACTCTTTTACCGAATCAGGCTACAGTCGCCCTGCTGATTTTTTTTCCTCATTATCACATGGTATACGTCGACCTAAGTGTGCAGAGTTAAGGCATTAGATTGCTCCAGAAAAGTGCTGGTCAAGTCTCCCATACCTTTGACGACGTTGCAATTAAGAAGGCGCTTGTAACTTTACAAAGCACTGAACAACAATGACAAACACCGGCGCTTTTCAGAGTGACTGGGCCCAGTGATAGAGATGAGAATTAAGACATTGTTTGCTCTATATTTATTTAATTTTGGGGGATGTTTTGAGCCTTTATGGACATAGAGAGATGACAAGAAAACCTCTCAAGCGACAAGGGTGTCCCTGCTCTTTGCTTACACAGCTACATCCATCATTTTTCATGTCTTTTTCTTTGTCTTGCCTTTTCAGGAGACACTATCATAAAATGTGCACCGTTATCCCCATTTGAGGAGATTCTGCCTAAAATTCAGCGGGCTTTTTGCCCCCGAGTGTGGCCATTTGGAACAGTTAAAGCACGGTTTCCTTAGATCTGGCCAAACAACACTTTGTACCAGTACCTCAGCCTTAAAGTGAAGAAACATAATCAACCATAGGAGATTTACCTCATCTCTAGAGCTGCAACTAATATTATTTTCAATATCAATAAATCTGCCCATTATTCTCTTGATTAATCATTTTGTCTGATGTCACAGAGGTGCTGTTTAATCTTAATTCCCCATGTTAATTCCAGAGTCTTGTGTTCTCCGACCAGCAGACCAAAAACCAACATTTCAGTTTACTTTTATGTATGACAAAAAAAAAAAGCAGCAAATCCTCACACTTGAGAAACTGGAATTAGAGAAATGTTTGGTATTTTTGCTTGAGCTCAATTCTCAAAGCAGTTGGCTGTTAATGTTCTGTGTATTAACTAATTCATTAAGCCTCTAATTATTTCAGCCTCACATGTGTTTTACTCTCTCCTGTGTCGTATTGTGGTTGTAGAGGAGCTGCAGCAGCAGGTGACACAGAGCAGCACTCAGAGAGAAGAGATCATCCGACTCAAACAGGAGCTCCAGCTGCTGCGCAGAGATCTGGCCCTGTCAGGTACGTTAAACTATCAACTACAAATCTGCTCTGTGGCCAGTCTCTGTTGTGTTTTTAAGAAGCATGCATAAGTGTAATCCAGTTTTATCTCTGCAGTCTTCTTCTCTTGATATTGATCTGTGCAGTAGCTGTTTGCAGACACCAGAATAAAAACAAATGTTCCTGCTGAGATAAGTGCAGCATCTGATGTTTGTCACCAGGGGAGGGAGACAGCTGGAGAGATGAGCTGCTGGATCTGGCTCGCTCCAAACAGGAACGCACCATGTCAGAGCTCCGCTGCCTGCGACAGGTACAGTGTCCAATATGCTGAACCTCACTGAGAGAAAAAAAAGGTCATATCCAACAAAAAATCTTCCCCCTAGCTTCACCACATGGCTGAAAAATATAGCAACTAAACAGTTATGAATGAATAGAATATACTGTAATAAAAACACTTCTTCTTCAGTTGAATACGTCTTTCCTCATTCCTGCTACTCACACCGTCGTTGACATCAGAGGTGCCTTTCTGGTTTGGCAGCATACCTCAGACTGCTACTGCAGACTCTTCATTGCGGCTCTGGGTCACTGTCATGTCCAACACTTGTTTAAAGTACACAGTAGGGACAAGATACTGTGTATTATCACTTTTTTAAGTTAATCATGATTTCGGTTTTTAAAAATTAAAATGGAACTTTTATTGACTCACAGAGGGAAAACTCAGTCGTTGCTGCAGAACAAAGACAGAAATAAGTTGATATATTTTTAAAAAAGGAAAGAAAAAATAATAATAGGTATATACAACTAGAATAAAAATAAAATATCTGTTGGTATCTGATATCTTAAAAAAGTACATTAATAAATACACATAATGCTGTTTTTGTGTGTTTTTCCAGGTGTGTGAGAATCAGCGGAACGACCTGCAGCTTCTGCAGCTGAACCTGGAAAGTGCACGGGAATCTCTGCGGGAAAAGACGGGTCAGGCATTACCTGGCAGGTGAATGTGCCAGGAAAACATGGCTAGACCAAAGCAAGGGTTCATGTGGGGCGTCTGGAGCTTCAGAGTTCAAATGATCGGAGCCCCAGAGCTCCCTGATGAGAAACACGGATGAGTTGAGAGCAAGGAGCATACACTCAGGGTGTTTCTAGGAATCTGCCTTTTTATTCAAACTTAACTCAGTCCTCTTGAAGTGGTCCAAAAAAGTGGCCCAACAGAAACGGATATGGTACTGTCTGTCTGTTTGTTTTCTCAAGCATTCCACTGCAATGTGATCCAGAGGGCTAAAATACAATGCCTAAGGGCAAATGGAACCTGGAGCCTTTAGTCTTTTTAATGCACAGCTAAAGAGAACCGAGTACTAGAAGCGATCATTTCAGAGTTCTTTTGGAGTGTTCGCAGCTGCGCTAAAAATGCTGACTCATTGCTCCGAGTCTGCTTGAAAGACTGAAAGTGACCGAGTGTAAAAACACCCTGAGAGTTTTCTCTGAAGCCAGAGATGTTACCATGATACTGTCTGATCTGACCTTGAGCTTCACACTTGTTTCCACAGCTCATTTTTACAAAAGTAAAGATACCGACACACAGTTCACAGAGCACGACTCATAACAGCTGTCTGATCTTAGAAAAGCAAACTCTGGCAGAGGAGGAAACTGATAAATGAACGTACAGTAAATTTAACAGAGGGAGCTGTGGGATCTCTAAGAACAGGTAATGTAAATGATGTTGTTTTGTCCTTGTTTGTATGTCAGTCAGGAGGAGTTACAATGTGTCTGTGCAGACAGCCGGTCACCTTCATCACTCAGAGTGAAGAGCTCAAGACCTCTACACGACTCTGCGTCTCCACCTGCAGCCAATCTGAAAGCTACAGTCAACGGTGACCTGAGAGGCTTCACGATGACACACACCATAGACGTAAGACAGAAGCTGTGCCTCATTTCAAGAACAGTTGTGTACATTAAGACATTTTTATTTCTCAATAAGTCGAGATGAAGTACCCAGGATCTGACATTTTATAGTAACATAAAAAAGTGTAAGGGTTCACATCTTTTTAAGGAATAGTTTGACATTTATTTAGTTTCATGCAGAGTTAGATGCGACTGAGACCACTCTCATGTCTGCAGGTTGAATATGAAGCTACAGTCAGCACCCAGTTAGCTTAGCTTAGCATAGAGACTAGAAACAGGGACACACAGTTAGCCTGGCTCTGTCTAAAAGGTACAAAAAAAAAGAGAAAGTTTTGAACTCACTTTGTATGTTATTTTTCTTTGGGTTTTTTGTATGAATTAAACAATTGAGATACAATGTGTTAATTACAGGAGGTTGTAGTGTCTTATCCAAGAGAGGTATCAATCTTCTCGTTAAACTCCCGACAAGAAAGCAAATGAAACTGGGCTCAGATGACAGAGGTTATAAAATTCTAACTGATTTTGAAATCTGGTTGCATCACGTAGATGAGGAGAAGCTTCACAGATGTTCTCCTCTGTAACCTCAAACATGCACACACTACAAGATTTGAAAAAATGAGGCATCATAAATTATAGGATATTTTTAAGATTACCAGAGGGGGAGCATGAATCACCGCCTCACGTGATCTCATGGGGAAGGAGATGGAAACAAAATGGAGGCTGACGTGGTGCAACAAGTTGCTGTAACGATGCTTTGCAGAAAAGAAGACTGAACAAGTCTGGATGAGTTAATGGTTGAGGAGACACGCTCGATTAGAGTCAAGTTAAGTTAAGATAATAAAGTATTACATATATATAAAGCCAAGCAGCATCATTATTCTTAAAAAGGGGGATTTAATAACAATAATGATTCTAATTCCTAAAACAAATAAAAATACACCTAAAAACCAAACTAAAAGCTTGCAGAAAAAGATCCATCTTTAGTTTGCTTTTTAAAGAGAACATTGTTGTTGCAGACAGTTCAGTTAAGTAGTTAATGTGGAAGAAAATTCCAGAGAGTGGACAACAAGTGTCGCACACACTGACTCCAGAAGGCGTTTCTTTTATTTCAGTGATGACGTTTTCGGCCTTTTGGCCTTCTTCAAGATCAATACTCATACCTTATGATTGTTCATTATTAAACCTTATGATTGTTGATCTTGAAGAAGGCCAAAAGGCCGAAGAAAGAAAGAAAACATCATCATCAAAATAAAAGAAATGCATATGGGACCGGAGTGTGCAACACTTGCTCTCTATAATCAAGTGCCAGTGATCAGTACCTCTGTATTATTCTTGGTGTGCTTTACTGTTATATTTTAAAGGGGGAGACACGCTCAACACAGGCTGTCTGTTCTTCAGTGAGCATTAGAGGTGAGATTTTACCTGTCAGTTTTAATATCTGTCAACAGTAGTATGGTTCCTAACGTTAGCTTCAAGGGCTTGAATGTTTACTTTTGCTTGGCAGCTCTGTCTGCTGCTCCGTACTGATGAGATCATAACTGTAATCATCCAGATTTTAAATCCTAAATATCAAACGTGTGATATTATTAGGGCGGCCCCGATGAGCCTGTGAGCAGTCTGAAAGGGTTAAGGCTGGATCAGTAAACCGGCGGCACAGCGGTGCAGTGATTAGCATTGTTGCCTCACAGCAAGAGGGTGCCTGGTTCGAATCCAGGAGAGTCAGGGAGCCCTTCTGTGCTGAGTTTGCTGGAGCCTATCCCAGCTGACACTGGGTGAGAGGCAGGGTTCACCCTGGACAGGTCACCAGACTATCACAGGGCTGACACATAGAGACAGACAACCATTCACACTCACATTCACACCTACGGACAATTTAGAGTCACCAATTAACCTGCATGTCTTTGGACTGTGGGAGGAAGCTGGAGCACCTGGAGGAAACCCACGCTGACACGGGGAGAACATGCAAACTCCACACAGAAGGGCTCCCCCACCCTGTGCATTGAATCCTTTGTTGAGCAAAAGTGAAGATTTGTTTTAGCTCCACCTTTTAGTACCAGATCTGTGTGCTAGGTACCCCAACAGAGGGGGGACCAAACATGGGGACGGTAAGGAACACCGTCACAGTGGATAAGAAAAAAAAAAAAAAAGGCGTACTGAACTGAACTGCTCAGTGGAAACGGGGCTTTAAAGATTTTTCTCCTTCTCTCTCCAGGGTGATGATCCTCTGTCCAGCTGTTCTCTGCAGCAGCTCTTAGATGAGTCCAGGCAGGTCATCAGTTCAGAGCACAGCAGCTCCAGACCTACTGATCCTCTGTACTCTCACAAGTGCCAGACACCCCACCATCATTACCACCACCCATCCACCCCTCCATACAAGGTAGAGGAGTTTCACAATGCTGGGCCTCATCATCCTCTTCTCTCGCTCCATTTGTATTAACGGGGTGTGGCATCCAGGGTGTAAAACGTTCAGTTAAACCGCTGTTTCTTTTTTAGTTTGGGTGTGTTAAGACATAACAGCTTCATTATTTTCCTCCAACAGGCCGGTGAGACTCCACCCAGAGCCTGCCCTCGACACCAGACAGCCCTGTGGACAGATTGATGCTCACTGAAGCACAGATTTATTTATTTAGTTTTCAAAATCAGTGTTACTACAAAACCTGTGTGCACACAGATAAAGGTTGGACTGCCTCTCAGGAGAATGATGAAGTGTTAAAGTTACATTCCTGCCATGAATTTGTACCTTTTTATACCTTTAATCTTGTTTTGTTTTTAACTTGGTGCCTCTGAATATTTTTGGGAGGAATACAAACCTAAATTCATGTGTATTTTTTATAAGCCTGTGTCAGATGTTTAAAGGCTGTGTTGTGTGGAGTGGGTGAGATGTGAAACCAGTCCTACAGGGCTGTTGAGTGGTGTGTCCTTGTATTGTCTTTCCAGTTTCACTGCCTTCAGATTCACCCGGTGACTCAAGAGGAAATGTGGAGAGCTGTTTGTTACTTTGTCATCTGCTTTTGATAAAAAAAAATATTTATAAGTAAACCTATAAATCACTGGTGTTTTATTTCCTGTGATTAAACGCACTGATTTGGCGAGTACGCATTTGGAGAGCTTTTACGCACGAGAGCAACGGCTGTGTTTACCTGTTGGTCACTTTTGTTTTCACAAGACGGCGATGTTTTCACCTAAAGAAGAGAATTAAAGGGGGAATCTTTTTTTGGGGACGTGCGCGCGCCGCGTCTGGCGCACCTTTTATTGTTTTAAAGAGGCACGGGAGCGCAGGTGAGGAGCTGAAACCTGGAGCCGGATCACTGTGTGGATTTATAGTTAGAGGAACAACATGAGCAAGGCGAAGAATAAAAGTGATAATAAGACGGAAAAAGCTTTGGCTGCGGAGAAGGAGCAGTTTGCTAAACAACAGGTAAGAAATTATGTTTTATTATTTATTAAAATTAAACAGTTTATTGCCTAAATGACGTCATGTATCCCGATTGTATGTATGTTTTAATAGCTTGTAAATCAGGCTGAGAGGTTCCTTGTTAGGGAGCATTTGATGACTTAAAATTAATGTGTTTAAAGTTGAATATTTGAGTGGAAACTTATAATATTTGTTTTTAATTAATTTCAAGACAGTTTTGGCCTCTTGGCTGGGCTGAATCTAACTTAGTGTGTTTTTGTTTTTATCAGGTAATCACATCTATTTCCGCCAGAGGCAGTGTGATGTTGACTTGTAGGACAGTTGAGCTGTTTTAACTCAGCTGAGTCTCTTATTTTTTTGTCTTTCAGCTCCAAAGCATCAGCAAAACTCTCATCTCTGGTGAAACACCACTCAAAGAGAAATATGTCCGCAGTATCCTTTAAAAAAAAGCAACCTATTTATTGTCAAATTGCTTAAACAGGACAGGTTACAGACATGCTGGCTCCTCTGTGAGGCTGTTCTTTGAGCAAAATGCTAATATTAGCATGCTAACTTTAGCTTATTAGCAGTTGGTTGGCATCAGGGTTGGTTAGGACACTTTCCTCTGCCTTGTGTCTCGGTTTATGTTAGGATATTCTATCCAGTAGCAAATTAAAGGTTACAGCTATAAATCAATATGTTTAAATGTCCACAAATGTTTTCTAACATTTGGTATTTTGTGATTAAAGTCATGTTGTGCATTTGTGCCAACCAGCCCCATTAGAGGGTTTGTTAGCATGTTGCTAAAATGCTGTGGTTACAAAAAATGAAGCAACAAACTGAAACAATTTCACATTTAATTCAAACAAGAACCAGAAAAATACAGAAGCATATTGCATTCACTTGACAAATAAAAAAAATCGTGGTGGTGTAATGGTGTAATTTTTTTTCTGTTTTTCGTGGTATTTTTTTGTTAGTTGAAAAAAAAGTCAAATGCCATCGTAATTTATTTTTGAATTGTTAGAAAATGGTATTTTAATTTTGACTTAAATATTGCTTGCATAAATAATAAAAAAAATCAGGTTACAATTTTTATATTGCATGTAAAATTTCAAATTTGATTTACATTTGAATATTGATAATATTAATAAAAATTTAAAAAGTTTTTTTTTTTTTTTAATTAAATGGCAAACAGCTTTTCCATTTTCATTTTTTATATGACCATAGGATGCCAATTCAAAAATGTAAAAATGAAAATGCAAACTGGATAATTGCATTTTAATTTTAATTGTTTTTTTTTTACTCAAATAACTTGGAAAATTACGGAAGCGTATTGCATTCACTTTACAAATTCAAAAAAAAAAAAATCTGTTTTATTGAGTAATTTTTTTCTGTTTTTCTGAGTAATTTCTTTATTTTTCGGTGTAATTTTGTTTCTGTCTTTCGTGGTATTGTTTTGTTTTGTTTTTTGGGGTAATTTTTTACTGTTTTTCTGAGTATTTTTTCTGAGTTAAGAGAGCAATAGAACAACAGACGCTTTTGTTCCTTTCTTGAGAGCTTGATATAATTGAAGCAAACATGACCCGCTTGTTTAGTTTAATCCAGTTTTACTTTGTTTTGGGTTTGAGACACTGGGAGACACTCTTGTCTTTAAGTCATATAGATGGTGTTATCATTAGTTTGTCGACTTTACGCAGGAACCAGTCACTTGCAGGTGCCAGGAGGGAGCTTCTCGCGAGATTTTGAAGTATCTCCTCGTTCGGGAAAAAAAATTACCACAAAAAAGAAAAAGAAAAAAATACCCCGAAAAACAGAAAAATAAATAAATTACTCCAAAAAACAGAAAAAATTACTCAGAAAAACATGGCTTTTTTTATTTGTCAAGTGAATGCAATACATTTCCGTAGAAAACATTAACTTTTAATACAGTATCTGCACATTTTTAAAATGAAAACACATTTTTAAGCAATTTATCAGTAGGAATGTCTTATAACTCTTGCCACTGACCATTCTAAATAATAATAATTAATTAAACAACACAATACAGTTACAGCTGTCACTGGTGGTTGGGACTAACTAGTTAATTATATAACTAGTTATGTGTAATTAAATTACAAAATAAATGTAATTATAATCAGTTACAGTCACTGAGAACAAATATGGAATTAAATTACAGTTAGCCTACTACTCAAAATGTTGGTGATCACATATGGGTTACATCCAAATCTCTTTTTTTTGTCTTTTGTAAAAAGTTTATATATAAATATAACATTCATTCTGTTGCTTTGCATCTTTATGTCATGTATTGCTCAGTTTAAAACATTTGTCAGAAAAGTAGTCAAGTTATCAAATTTAATAAGTTATGGTGTTTTCACACTTGGTCCTTTTCAGCCTACACTTCAAGAGAGCTCAGACCTCTCTTAGTTCAGAGGGGTCACTTCAAGTTCGCAGTGCAGTTCACTTCACCTGATTAGTGAAGAGTCTGAATGCAGGCGCCATCCCTGCTGGACAAACAGCCACGGGTCACTAAAAAACAACCGGTTCTGTTGTTTCTTGGTCTTGAGTGTGCAGTCAGTGGTGTGCAGCTTGGCAAGCACCTCGCCCTGGTGTCACGCCATCCACCATCCCTTCAACCTCCCTATGACACCGTTATGTCACTTTAGAAACATTAATGTGATACGTATGAAACATGCAAATGTAACGTATTTGTGGTTTACAGAAATGTACAATGGCAACATTTTCTTCTGGCGACTGAGCCGAGGAAAAGTCAGATTATTATCAAATTCATTATCATCTCTTCTCTGGACATCACGGATCTCTGTACAAACTGTCAGACAATCCATCTGATATTTGTAGAGATATTTCAGTCTGGACCAAAGTGATAAACCAACGTTGCCATCATGGCTAAAAATCAGACTCTGTCTTCATCGATCACACTCTAATATAATGAACCTGCTAAGACACAAGTCTGAAGTTGAATTGAGATTATTGCATCAGAGTTTTGGAGTTTCCTTGACAGCAGTGAAGATATCATCATGGGATCACATAAGGAGGGTGGAGCCACCACCTTCTGGTCCTACACCCTCAACCTGCCTCTGTCCAGCAACTCCATGATCAGCTGGAAGTTCTGCTACCTGCTGCACAAACTGCTCAGAGACGGACACAGAAACGTGAGCTCACATCTCATTGTCTACTTCACTGTAACCTTTTCCACCCTTCTCTTCAGTCTTGGTGGCGTCTAATCTCTGTCCTCTGTGTTTGACCTGCAGACTGTCAGAGATTCTCACAGACACGTCCGCAACGTTAAAGACATGGGCATTCTCTGGGTGAGTATCAGTGATGGAAGAAGAACTCAGATCTTATAGACAAAGAAAAATACTCTGTTGCAAGTAAAAACCCTGCATTCAGATTCTTAAAAGACGTCCTAAACTGTCTCCTGTGGCTGATCTCTGATTCTATGTGACATCATTAGATAGGTAATACCGTCGTTCAATGTTAGAGCAGCATGTTACTGTTGTAGCTGCCCCAGGTGGAGACAGTATAAACAACTTAATATAGAGTTACTAGTTTAGTCCAGTGGTTCCCAACCCGGGGGTTGGGCTCCTCCAACTGTCACCAGATAAATCTGAGGGGTCGTCACGTGAGTAGTGGGAGAGAGAAGAAGAAGCTGCAAAGTTCTGATACACAAATTTATATTAGGTTTGTTTTAGAGTTTGTCGAAAAAATGAAAAAGAAATACACACACACCAATGCTTAAATAACACTGATACAATTTAAAACACCACACAGATTCCACTACACCAAAGCAAAAACAGACAACATATATCCAAACGTGTCACCGACTTGTGATCCTCCGACGCAACCCTTTTCTCACAGCTTTGTCTTGTGGCCTAAGGTTGCATCTCTCTGGTCCGATGTCTTCAACAGCATCTCAGAAATTTGGTGTCGTGCACAGACATTTTTACAGGCAGGTGCTCAAGCAAAAAAAAAAAAGGGCAACCTTCTCATAATTATGAATTAAAAGATAAAGTTACATACAGCAGCAAACCTTTTATTTACTTGCATATTAATTCATATATTTCAGCCTCCACAGCAGTTCCAAACCAGCATGTCTCATCCTATGTTCCAAGACCGTGGGGTTTATGAAAGCAGCAAAGTGAAGCACCTCTATGAGACAAAGTACAGAGCGTTTTTTTGAGCAAATACACCACATGAACTTATATCTGTTAATGTTGTTTTCCCAGGGAAACTTGCATGATCGCTACGGCCATAT